GTTGATTGATTGTCACTCTTTTCTCAGATCATGAATATGCAACTTGTTCATCTGAATGAGTCAAAAATGCATGGCCACCTCTAATTCAGTCTACTTTCACTGGTCAGCCTGGGGAAATAATCGTCTGATTAAAGAAAAAAAATTAAGGCTCTCATTCTTCCTTTGATATAATTGTGCTTTGGAATAACTGTGCTCCATACTTGCAAACCAGGTCCAACAAAAACATCACCGTTCAAATCTTTCAAAGTGAAATAATTTTGGTTTCCTAAGACCAGTATATAATAATATGTGGGGAGCACCGTGTTTATGCCTGTGAATGGCATTTTCACTTCAGATGAATTTTAAGAGTGTGAAGGTCATCTTTTATTATCTTATTCCCCCTTATGCTGTGCATTTGCTAATGACAATTGTCTTGGATCATCGAGTGTGTGATCTATTTTGGGCATCTGCTACAGTGGCTGCTGGGTGACAGCCAGCAAGAAATATCTGCAGAGGTAATGAGAGTGGAAGGCAGGATAAGATAACATGGAGTGATAGGCACGGGAAACACCAGCAGAGCAGAGGTATGGCTGGAGGGTCTGAATGCTTTGGAGGAGTTTTTCTGTCTTCAGAAGTGAGGCTCTAGGCTTAGATGCCTGAATGGCTCCTCGGTGTCATGGGTAGGCTTTCTCATTTGAGCTTTGTGGAACAAGGTGTTAAAAGATCAGCGAGAGGTCTGGTGAGGGGGGCAGGTCTGGTTTTTTTTGAGAAAATATTGCATGGATTCTATGAATCTGCAGAAATAGACGTGTTCTTTGGAGGATGCTGGGAGATGAGTAAACTTGTCAATCCAACGCAAGCTGGCTATATTCCCAGAGATATCTTGGGCGGGTTCCCCATTCTCAAATTATTTTTTAACTTGCCCCTCTGAATGACAGTCTGTCTCTCTCTTAGGACAATGGTTTTCTGTTAGGTGTGTTTGCATTAACGTTATTTATAGCTATGTACCTTGAATTCTGATGAAGGGAGTAGTCAGTCTGAGGGAATTACAGTCTATGGGCAAGTCTCAGCAATGTCTCTTAATATATGGGTATTTTCCCTTAGTTGACTTTTGCGTGGGCTTGGAACTTAATTTTGAGAATCATCTTGAGCACAACGTTTAGGGTTTTTCAGAAAGACTTGGCGTTGTCCCTAGTTTACTTTTTCTGAAGACTGCAGGTGTTGAGCTAGGTTTGCACCGACGCTTTGGAAAATCCTGCTCTGAACCACTGCAAACAAAATTATATCAATGTAATACAATGCTAAAAGCTCAGAGATGTCCGAGTTCTTTTAAATATTACTAAAGCATTTGTTGCTTGTAGTTGCAAGCCCTGACCAGAGTTAGTCAATGAGCTTTTTTGAGGTTATGAGAGATTGACTGAGGGATACAACAATTTGCTTACAAAGCAGAATTTGAGTTGTTTATTTTCATTGAGAGGAGAAGAGAGACATTTTTATCTCAGGCATGAATATGGCTTAGGGAAGGGGAAATCATGAAAAAAGTAGCAGAACAGTTACTGGCTCCGTTTTGCAAAACTCTGAAAATTATAGGAAAGCTAAGGATCATCTGGAACATGTCTGACAAAGCACACAGGTGTAAAGTGGAAGGGACAAAAACTGCTGTCATGTGTCTAGTCCAGCCTCGACAATGTGAGCGTTCGTTCCTACATTATGCTCTTAAAATGCTCTGTTTTTTCCGATCTTGAATATCACAGCCTGTGCGGTTTCCATCACTTTCCTTAGGTAGTTGAATGAGAGAGATCATCATTAGAACGCAGTCAGAGGAGGGACAGGGAAGCAAATTTGTCTCTGTTGCAAAGATTTGAGCCTGGGATTTGAACAGATTTGTTCATGAAAATGCAATAGGCCCTTTGCTAAAGCCTCACAGAGCCTTTAACAGAACCATCACATCCAGCCAGGCAGCTGCAGTGGAAACCTCAGGTGAGAACTGAGTAGATGCTACTGAAAGCTCCTGCTGGAGGCATGTTGTGCCTACCTCTCCTCAGTGAGGTGACTGGAAGCATGTCTGTCATTCAGTGAAAAGGGTAACTTCTCCTGACCTGAGACAGGAATAGATGTATTTTAATCATATGATGTGACATGATGACATGCATCTGTCACAGCATGCATCCTATTCCATGAGGTGTATAGACACACACCCTTCATGTAGGAGAGGACACAGTTTTGGATGTATAGCTCAAATACGTCCCATCATCTGACAGGAGTGGGGCTCTGGGCCCCTTGGGGAGGAACAGGGCTTACCAGAAAAATTCATCTGCCCTGTACCTTTCCTATCTTGAGGGACAGCATAGAGGAGCGCGGCCTGTGGGCTGGATCTGCACCATGGACCGGAAACTCCCCATCTTACGAGTACGTCACGAAGGGGAAAGATATGAAGAGAAATGGATGGTTCAAAGTCCCTCTTATCTCCTTGTGCTTTGGAAATGGCAATCCAAAAGGATGCACACTGCAGAGAGATGTTAAGTGTATGGAGAGAGCTATCACTAAGTGACACTAAATTGGGTCACTAGAAGATGGAAGCAGGCACTGCTTTTCGTCTTGTGTTGCATAACTGGTGTTGAATGCTTAACAGAGGGACGTTGGGTTTTTGTTGATAACCCTTCACTCATTGCTACTGGTTTTTGAAAGAATGAATGTTATGTCTGTCTAATACGAGGCTGAGTGTTGATGTAGCAGACTTTCAGCTTGAGATGAAGTAGCCCAATCATTTTTGTCCCAATGTGTACGTTTTGCTAATATAGGCTCTTCAAAAATTGTATATACGATTTTGTATGTACAATTTATCTTACTTTGCAGCCCTGGAAGGAACATAGTTGGAAAGAAGTTGCATTGATATGCAACAAGTGTCTCCGATGTGTTAGAAGCCAGTGGTTTAAAAAAAAAAGTAAGGAGGAAAATAAATCAGCAAGTCTGTTTTCTGAAGTGAATACAATGGCAAAAGCAGGGTGCGTTTTGACAAGTCAATTAGATTTGTACAGTTTATTTGCTGCTTATGAGTTATGGTTATGTTAGAGAATGAATTTGCTCTTTGGTACTTCATCCTATGTTATAACAAGTCTGCTGATTTATCCAAAAAGCTGGATCTTCTTGCAACGTTTAATTGAGCGTGTTTCTAAAGGATCAAAATAGAGTTTCGTTTGCTGGTAAAATATATTTCCCCGGTGTATCAAAGTCAGAAGTCAAAGGCTGCTATTTAAAAACCTGCAGGAGCTCTCTAGAGATACAGAATTTGGAAATCCCCAGCGTGTCTGCCGCAAGCAGCCGTTGGGACCGAGTTTCATAAGGAAATAAGCATCACACTGAGAAATGTGGAAATGCTGCTGTAGTCCTGAGGTACGTGGGAGTAACTCTATGGCTCCATACAGTTAGGTTTTATTGTGGTGTTAGAGGCCTTATAGCTACCTAACTGTACACGTTCTGATCTACGATAGTGGCTGTTGCTTGGGCCACTGGGGATAATTCTAGTGTTTATCCGCGCAGGAAACGCAAAACACGTTGTAAACTGGTCAGCAGGTTATTGTGTTAAAATGCATTTTGTCAGCATAACATATGTTGCTGTGTGGGTGTATCCTGAGGAATAATGTCTCTGATCTTCCTTTTCAAGAGCAGCAGTTTCTGCACCAGCTGCCCAAAACTGGAAAAAAATATTGAATGGAAAACCGAGTTGATGTTTGTTGGTATAGAGAGTGTTACACTTGGGCATAATTAAAAAAAAAATCGATCAGGTTTTCATGGAACTAAGCTCATATTTCAGGCCTGAATTTTTATGCCATAATGGCAGTCTCTAAAAGGAGTTTCATCCACTGGATTTTGCTAGGTGGTGTGCGTCGAAGGCTTCTTCATTTCTGTTATGCTCTCTGTCAGCAATCTAAATCTGGGACCAGGGTGCTGTTACTCCTGAGAGTTTCTTCCTTTCTATATCACTGCAGAACATGAGGATTCAGGAAGCACAGTACATTAGAGAACAATTGTATGTCATGGTGAATTCTTTCTCAGTCTCTCTCCACCCCATCATTTTGGGAGCCAGGAATGATCCTTGCTGCCAGACGTCTCTAGGGTTGAATCCACTGACTCTGGTAGGAAAAGCAAGTTCTCTCTCCCTTTCCCCAGCCACTTCATTCTCTGTTTTGCAAATCTCATGAGGCTCTCCGTTTTATAGGATGACCTGCTTTGTGGAGAAAGCACTCTTCAAGACACGTTCAGTTCGTGTTGGTCACTAAGGACCAGTATAAGGCACTTCCTGATTTTAAAGCGCACCAATATGAGGCTTGTCCTTTCAGACCTCACAGAGCTCATCGCTTTTATCATGATTATGCTCAGGAAGCAAATGTCACTGTTATACAGAGTAATATATGCAATAAATAAATGCTGCTGTTGTTTTTCTCATCCGAAATGTCTAGGGGGTGATGCAAGATGTTGCCCTGAAAACCCTGGAGATAGGATCACAATGCTTTTTTGCAGCAGTAGTCCAAGCTTCCTTTTACAGTCTCACCACCGCGTTTCACGAACAGAGCCTGAAGCGAGAAAGAGGAAGTTCTACGTTGTGGTCTTTTGGGTTTGTGGTCTGCCCGCTGACGCTCTGATGAAGGAGCCTGTAATGCTGATTCTCACGGTAGCTCTTTTTGGTGTATTAGGTCCCCAGGCCTGTTAAACTATATGCCTTACTTCTGTCACGTTTAGGTTTAAAGGTATATTTTGTGCTTCTGGTTAATTATGTGCCCAAGTACTTTGGTGAGGAGCAAGAGCCTTCTGCAGTTAGAGGCACACAGCTTTTTCCAGATTTGGACCGTCACTCTTCAGCTGAGACTGCCGAATTAATTCCATATATGCTTTGGTCAGTGGTAGCTTTGGCCCTGAATGAGCTGCAGTGGGGCCAGTGAGGTTATATCAGAAACGTTTTACTGATTCTTTGTCTGTTGGAAGGTCATGATGAACATCATTTTTCTTTCTTACTATCCTAGTTGCATCATCTTTGCGCATCAATGAAGAGTCCAAATATGGCTTTGTTCAAGCAACAGAAGGTGGAGGACGTTTATGAAATCGGGGAAGAGCTAGGAAGGTAAGTTTGCACAGATGACAGCAGTACTAGTCTAAAAGCTGACGTGTTGGGAAGTTTGCAGCATCTTTTAACAATGACTTGATCTCTACTCTGCATGATAACCTAAATTAACGTAAAACAAGAGAAACGCGTTCCTTTATAGAAAATACATTTTCAAACAGTTGTTTTAGGTTAACTGTAGTAACTATTTTTGCTGTTTCCCTTCTTACAACTGGGACAACAAAAGGTATGTTTACATGGCCTTTTGTAGATAGGAGTCAGCTGTGTCTGTGCTTTATACTGAGTTCACCTGTCTGTTCTCTGAACCAGCTAGGAAGCAGGAAGCCATGGTACTATGGCCATGATCATAGACACAGCTCTCTTTTTCAGCTTGTTTTTTTTTGGAACAGTGCTGCCCAGCCTCTGGCTATTTTGGAGCATGGACATGTTCATATCTGCCTGCAAAACACTGTGTACGTATTCCTGAAAAGATTCACAGATCAAAATTTCAGCTGGCCTGGTTAATGTGTTTGTATATCTTATAATCCATAAAGACTTACCTACAAATATTAATTATAGTTGAAGTTAGTGGGCTATTACCATGCTTAACCATAAGCAGGTGCTTAAGCGCTCTACTGGATTCATGGCCTGGATAAGGCAGGGCTCCCACAGTCGCTTAGCAGCACACAGCGCTCTGAATGAGGATAAACTGTTCCCATTCAGTATTCAACCCTCTACTGATTTTTTTTAATATGCAGATAACTACATTAGGGCTATAGACATGCTGGCTTCTTGCCAAACATCTAGCAGTTGGTTCTGATACATGGCTGTATGTGCACAATTATCTTTTTTTCGAGGGCTGATAATTGAGTTACATTAAAACACTTCAGTTGAAGCTGTTTCCCTGCCAGATCTTCTTTTTCAGCCCCAGCTATTTCATCACTAGAATTGTCAAGAATGTTTCTTTATAAAGGGGATGTTTATATTTTTTTTCATTCTTTTCCCTTTCAGGAAGGCCTCTGTTGTTAAATTTTCCATAACTGGTTACTTTCAGGTAATGACTGGTCCTGAGAATATCAGCCTGAAAGTGGAAATCTGACAACTGAGCAACTGAGCACTAAAGAAATGTCTTGTGTGTGTGTGTGTGTGTATGCAGGTGGGGGTGGAGGGGGGAAGTTGTGTGAATGTAAATACCAGGACTGTAGCCATTGGTGTTAACGAGCCCAAATGTTACATCTAGTTCTCCAGAACAGGGTTTAAAAAAGTATACTTCTTTTTTTCTAAATCTGGGAGGCTCTAGTATGTACTATAACTGTCAAATTGCCAAAATGAGAAACTAGAAAGTGAATAGTGTGTTTTTGCTTTGGTTCCTGAATTGGGTTTGGAAATCCAGTGTCTTTTGAGATGATGAACCCACCCGTCCTCTTCAGGCTGATGACTGAATGGAAAAACGTAGCTGGACCAAGCTGAGGAAGCCTGGCCCTTCTGTTTGAATGAGTGAGGGGCTTCAGGCTGGCAAAGGCTCATACAGTTGCAGCAGCCCTCCTCCTTTCCTGGCTGCCTGTCGCAAGAACAGCGGTATCAGAGAACGGCTGATCCCAAGCGTTGGGCAGTGGAGCTGGTACTCCCTGCATGTATCAAATTTGGGCTGATGGGCTGTGCGTAGAGGTGGAGGGACTGGGAAAGATGGTCTGAAGGTGTCCAGCAGTTCTATGGAAGAGGCAGTTACCTAGGCTGCGAGGGAGGTTCTTGAGAACAAATTGCAGAAGTTTCCTTGGAAAGATGAAGAATGAGAGAGGAGCTTGTCTGTGGGCATTCAAGTACTAGAAAAAATTAACTCTAGGGAGACATCAGCAGAACGCTTTGCCTGCTGGTGTCTTCTAGGCCACGGAGTTGTAATCATAGTGCTGGAGGGGTCTGGGAGCCAGAGGATCAGCTGTGAGGCAGAGAGGGGTAAAAGAGCTGAAAGCCAGAAAGGAGTGAGGTAGCCCAGAAGAGCCTCTAAAGGGCTCGTCTGCAAACCAGGCTGGGAGCAAGAAGAGGCCATTCTCAGGTGCAGAATCTGGAGGTGACTCGTCAGTAAAATGAACTGAAAAAAAGGTACTGGATTGTCAGACAATTCTGGATCTGGGATAGCTGCAGCGATGTATTGTGCTTGCGCTTTTAAGGATTGTGTACAGGACAGAACAAAATAAATGTTGTGTTTAGACTACTGTTTTGCATTATGAGTGAAAATGAAGCCTCAGACTGGATATTCATGTGCCATGAAGGCTTTTGGCAGATTCCTTGAGGGTATGATGAAGGAGAGATAAAAGCACCACGTAACGTGGGAGTAAGGGGCGATGCCGGTTATGTTTACATCTACAAACTTGTATTGGCCAACAGCAGAGCAAGGTTAGAAGCAATCTGAAGGCTGCCTGTTTTTTCTAGACTCAAGTAGTGGTTCAGTGCTCTTGATAGGCGGATATGCAAGGGGAAAGATTATACTGTGAGAAATGAGTGAAACTGAGTAAAGGTCTATCACTTTTCACGATGTATAGAAATCCTTGCCTTCTGCTTGATAGTGCTGTGATTGTCAACTAACCTCGTGTGATACACCCAGACGTGGAATCCAAAAATGCAGCCTTTCTAAATGGGCATGTTTTCATGCCCAGGAAAGGCCTTTTCCCGATCAGTCAGAAAAAGGAACAGGCGTGTGCATGAGCAGATGCTATCCTCTCATGACAAAAGGGTATTAAACTGCACTACAAAATCATATTCTGGTTCCCAGCATTTTACATATAACACTTTTCTTAGATGAGAAATCTAAGTCTATTTATTACTGAGATCTGTAGGCAAAACTGTTCCCTCAAAGATCTGGAGGAAGTAGGTAAATTGTGAGGCCTCTTCTGCTTGTTACAATTTTTGAAGAAAGTCGCTGTCATTATTATTTGTCAGAAGAGGACAGCAAGATTGGAATAGCTCCCTTGTTCTGAACGTATTCAGGTTATATACTTCATAGGTACCCTTGCATATAACGTCACACAGTCTTTGCCAGTTTTATTTTCACTTTCAGATTTTGTGAGGAGCCCTGCAGATGTCTATTTTTCAACTGCTTGTTAAATGTGTAGTTTGATGAGGTTATCACGTCTCCGTATCTCTAAGCGGTAACTACTCCTTTAGGGCCTGTGACAAATGGTTGCTTGCTTTGTTGGAAGCGACGTTACACACCAGATGGGTTGCGGCGACTTGAACACAAGAATCTTTCCTAGTGCTGACTGATGCCCTCGAAGCCTGTAGATGTCTTTCATTACTTTCAGTATGTTTTCAACAAGCTATTAGGGCTGACAGCAAGGTTGGTTCAAAGAGTCATGTAGTGTGACTCTGGCAACACAAGTCACGAAACAAGGAGATTTTCAAACAATGTGAAGTGTTTGTCCTGTTCGTGTACTGCTGAGTTTGTGATTTCCTGAAAACAAAACCCTTCATTAATACAGGGCTGATGCTTGTTCCAGCTGAAGTTCAGTCAGAAGATAAAATACAGGATCTCACCAACAGAGTCAGCACCTGTTTATTTGAATACCTTTACACAGAGCTTAGGAAAGGAGGGTCCTGTTTTGTATTGTAGAAGCTCCTGTGCAAGGCTTAGGTGTGCCTGGGTCTGCTCATGAAGTTAGACCTCTCCTGTCACTGTGCAGCAATCAAGCTGAGCAAAGGCTGTTCGCGTCCAGTTCAGATCCAGCTGTATAATATGCTGCACGGGCACGTTTGTGGACTCCTTGACCAGATCATTCTCAGCATCGCTGCTGAGCAGGAAGCGACTCAGAGGGATGCTGGCAATCCTGTGTCAATGGTGTGAGAGAAGACTCTGCAGAAGGGAGGAGCAGGTTTCCTATAGCTGCAGTTGTGTGCTCTAACTAGCTGGCTGGCTCCAACCTGCTTTTCCCTTCCATCACGTTCCCTTAATCTTTAGCGTATTACTCCAAAACTTTGCCTCTGTTGCCTAGCTTCTCCACAGGGTACATACAGGCAACAGCAAGCCAGGGGTGCGGCATTAGACAAAAGAAGGTGCTTATGTGCTTGTTAGTTCTGGCAGCCACGCTTGGGAAATTTAGCATGGCCTCTGCTGAAAAGCGAGTAGTATCTTACTATGATGTATATACTTTTAAAGTTACTTCCTGCAAGATAGGTTCAGTTGGTTTGTAGGTCTGAAGTCTGTGGCGACTGAGGTTCTTTAGCAATAGCTAAAAGGGGGCCTAAGAAGAGGAGGAGCCTCTTGGGTCAAGTTAGCAAATTTCAATGCTTGAAAAAAAAAATTAACCCTTTTGAGATCTTGCTAGAATGTTGAAACATTAAATGTTTTCTTTTTCAAAATGTATGAGGGGAGAAGGATGAGTTTAGACAACTTAACTGACCTAAGAACGTAAGTTAGTAGGTACTAGTTGAAAACTCAGCTTTGAATTTCTCGGGATATTACTGTCCTAAGAAAAAAAAATGATACAAGTTAGAGCTTTGATGTCACTGTTAAAGAGTATGCATACAGAGACTTAGCTCACAAGCTAGATGTAAAGTTTGATTGTTTGCTTACTCTTGCATTTGGACAGTGTGAGTTTTCTATGTAATCTCCTGCTATAATGGTACCCAAGAGTTACTGCTGCTCCTAACTGGAATGGTAAAAGCCGTATCTGTGTTCCTGTATGCCCCACAACAGAAAATCTGTGTGGTTTTCATTGCATTTGTCATGGGACAAATGTTAGTCATCATTAGGCTTTCCAAAGAGCAGAAAAGGTTATTGGATCTGATGTGTGCTTTACATACTCTGGATTGCTTGACTGATTTACTGTTCCCAAGAGCACTGCTGTGATTTGGAAGGAAGAGGGCTCACTCTCCTAGCTCTGCAGTCCTGTGAGAAAACTTTGTGAAGAGTGGATTATTAATGGGCTTTGCCTTCCTATCCTTATTGTGAAGGGCAATAGAAAAGATGGATATGTTCCGTGTATATTAATTTTAAAGTTCCTCAGTTATACTGGTTAGACTAGAGG